ACGTGAAAATTATGCAATTTTAGAATTTTGGGCTAATTACCTCACGCCCCTTCAAAGTATGGGATGTTTAAATTATTCTCCTTTTGGATTTATGCAATTTAAAAATTATGCAATTTTAATTTTAAGCTTATTTCTTAAATAAACGTTATTTAACTTTTTAATTAAAGATGGGGTACATATATTACATATACAAGTTTAGGCTAATTACCTCACACACCTTCAAAGTTTGTGATGTTTAATAGCGGTCTCTCCCTGCAGGTCTAGGGTTTGGTTTTTTCTTAGCAGATCTAAGGTTTGGTTCTTCCGGTCGGTGAATCTCCTTCATTGTGTCCGGCACTGGGATTGGATTTGAGGCATATTGACAAGAATCCTTGCCCAAGCTTGACGACATTGAAGCCAGAGTTCGGCGATCGATTTCTTTGTGAGCAGGGTAGCAAGGGCATGACAGCGATGAAGATGACCGCTAGCAGTGGATTTGCTATGAGCACGGGACGATGAGAGGTGCATGGATTTCGAGCAGGCCAGATGACGATTGACAATGAAGGATCAATTAGAGTGGTACCAAGGATACGGCCTCCTCCGGAACCACCGCCATGGGTCGTACGAGGTGCTAGAGTCCGTGGAAGTTTTCCTATTAGTTATTTTTATTCTGTCATTTGGCTTCTTGTTATCGTCTATGTTGTTAGGTTTGTCAGTTTGTTTGGGAATTCAACCTTTTTATGTCATTGAGTATGTTGCGATCTATGAGAACATGGATGACTGTGTCAAGCCCGCTACATGGTTAGCGATTCGCGTTGCTCTTTCAGGGGTGACCGTCTCTAAGTCTGATCATAGAGTTTACAGTCGTAGTTATTGGATTTTAGTTGGTGTCAGTTTTGTTTTTCCTTTGATTGATGTAATGATCCTGTAACTTATGATATGAATAGAGACATGTTTTAATGATAAAAGAAGTATGGAGTAGGATTTTATTTTCATGGGACCCCCTAAATAATAGGAGTTTGTGTCTTAGTTGATGAGTAGTAATCGTATTTGACTACAATTAATTGAATTCAATTACAATATGGAAATAGTAATGGAGCACTTTTTTAACTAAAAATTTTCGGAAGGGTAAACTAACCAAATTAAGGTTACGTTAAGTCATGTAAGGGGTGCGCCTACCATCACCCTTTTTTAAAACAATAATAATTATTTATAGAAAGATTTATTATTTATAGATACAACAATTTGATTGTTTGATAATTTCAAGTTTAGTTTAATCTTTAATTTAAAGAGCTTAGGCATTTTATTGTACTTCCGGTGTTCACAAGAAATTATTTATATTATGATTACACTGTCAAATACGAGATGTATTATTATACTTCATTCGTTCTTTTTCAATTGCAACAGTCCACTTTTCACGTTTGCCAACGTACAAGTTTGACCATTAATATCTTTCGTTCCTTAATAAGATTTTTTTTTTTGAAAAAAATCAGATTTTGAAAATTTAGAATGAGAAGAATTTAAGAATATTTAAAAAAAACAATTTATAATAGATCAATAAATAAAATATAATCATAGTAAAATTTGTGAATAATGCAAAAAGTCCAATATATTACGATTAAAAGAGAACGTAGTATATGTTACCGAGCAGTGCACTCGTATTATTTTCAACCCTATGATTAAGATTTATCAAATTCAGGCCAGGACATGACCTCCAACATTATAGGGCCAGCTCCGGAAGTCAACAAATGATGACTAAAAACATAGAACTAGAACACGTACGTCTCAGTCTCAGTTTAACATTCATATAAACACTATCCATGCCATCAATGCAATATTCTTTTAATTTCCAATTTTATATAATATTTTAATCTTATACTCTCTGCCCCACAACGATATTATTAATTGTTACTCCAAATAAATTTTTACTTTAATAACAAAGAAATTTATTTGTTAAATTTATTCTGTAAAATTTATAAATTTTATACTTTTATGAAAATACGTATTTTTAACAAAGAAATTTCCAAATGATTTTTATATTTTAAAAAGATTCATATTAAAAAAATATTATTAGTAAAGTTTGACCACTATTGATCAAGAAAAGTCAATTTGGCTAAGATTTGTGGGATAGAGGGAGTATTTAAATTAAATTTTGTGTTTCCGAACTTTTAACATGTCTTGCAAATTGAATATATAAAATCTAAAAATTAAAATTAGACATTTTAAAAAATCTATAGATATACAAAGTTGATTGTGGAACATTTATCTAGGTTGTAGGTCAGTAAACATATGTGACTATGACACAATGTTGATTGTCCAAGTATATTTTTTCAAATGATGTTTGTACTCACTCTTATACCAACTTTAGTACTCATCCATGTTTGTGAAAGCTTTTTTTTTCTCTGAACATCGATTCACGGACAATATTTTGCACAAACAAAATACTGGTTTACAGACAAAAAAGATTCACAAAATTGGGGGTATAAGGTGGACCAAGCCAACTGGGAAGCCTTTCCCCGGGTCGTGGCGACGTACGTCCCCAACAGGACCAAGCCAATTGGGAAGCCTTTCCCCGGATTTTGGAGACGTACGCCCCCAACAGGACCAGCCCACATCATCAAGGCCCCAGGGACGTACGTACCTAGGGCGGCTGGCTACCTAGGCCCAGGGGCAGTGCGAGACGTTCATCCGGCACAACAGAGCACGACAAGCCACGGTCACATTCGTATGTACGGTTGTGGGAGCATGGAGGTCTCGGAAATATGGGGTGATCCTCGCCCCCGATGTGGGTCCCACGTGCAATTCACTATTCACGCAAAAGTAGTAACGAAATTTACAACCTCGTAAATTCATTAACCATTTCATAAGGTTCAATACATGATTTACATAAAAGTCAATATATTTGAGGACAGTGTTACACAAATAAGTTTCCAATTTTTCATTTTGAATTCTTATTATAGTGATGGGATAGACCTAAAAAACACCCGAATCAAAAACATTTAAATCAAGACTATTAAGAGACCGGTATAGGAGATGAATGCCCCATCCATCGTTCGTGGCAACATTCACAAATTTTGGATCTTCCAGATTCAAGTGAGGTTTAACATTATCTTGCTGAATAAAAATTGTCTTACTTCCACCTTTAGGTCATTTTTCTTTGACTGTGGGTAGCACCTTGTAAAGTAGGCACTCTCTTGTGACTTGTATGATGGAACTCACTGCTTTGTCTCTAGGGTTCCCTTAGGCCAATTTTTGTTGCATCTTTTCTTGTGAAAGGAAATATTCCTATCTCTCCGTCACATAACAGTTCACCATTTGGACCAAATATGGGTCTTCCAACTGCAACCATAAACATTATCTTTGAGATGAAACTTTTTTTATTTAGCAACATCTGTGTGGATCTTAGCAGCAACTGCAACATTAGTGAGTGAGATATATAATACTTTTGACTTGATTTTGTAAAAAACACATTTTTCATTGATATAAATGTAATTATGATGAGTAAATTTTGGATCTTGCATATAAAATTTAAGCTGAAATCGAGAAAAGACAAACATTAGGAGTGTGTTGAGTAATAGAGATATTTTATAGTTTTCAAGAAAACTGGAAAAAGGAAAATAGAAAGCGTGTTTACTTAAAAAAATTGCTGGAAAACTCGAGAAAGGAATGACCATATGGTCCATGTCCGGTCATGTCAATTACCTAACGGTCCCTACCTGGTCCGGTCAATGACCAAACGGTCCATGTCTAGTCTGATCGACTGTAGGGCAGTCCCGATCTGATCTGATCCGGTCAATGATCGGCGGTCCTTCTCCTTTCTGGTCAATGACCCGGGGGTCTATGTCCGAGCCGGTCCGATCAATAATCGTGCGATTCTGAGCCGGTCCTGTCAATGACCCCACTGTCCATGTTCATTCAGGTCAACGACCCCACAGTCCCTGTCTAGTCCGATCAATGACCAAACAATACCTAGTCGGTCTGATCGACGGCCAGGCAATCCCGATCGAATCCGGGCCGATCAACGACTTTGCGGTCTCTATCTGATTTAGTTAATGACACAGTCATCCCTGTCCAGACAGTTCAACGATCTGGCTGTCCCCCGTCATTTTCGGTCAACAACCCGATGGTCTATGTTCGGTCCAATCGATAATTGTGCGATCCTGGGCCAATCCCATCTTCAACCAAGTTGTCCTTGTCCAGACCGGTCGATGATCCGGCGGTTCGGTCCCCATTTTTAAAATCATTTTTTAAAGTTAAAAAATGTTTCAAAGAGCCGTTAAGTTACCAACCAATAATGAAAAGGGAAAAGAATTAGTCAAACTAACTGTTGGGACCAACCGAGACCGCTTGGATTTAGTTCTGACTTTCATATTCTCGGGACCGAGTACCTACTTAGGTTATACTAAGTTTGGTTCCCAGCAAGGACCATACTTTTGGTCTTCCAATCGGTCAAAGAACCGGGTGAAAAAAATTGAGGAACATGTTTGTATATTTGAAAATGGAAAACTAGAAAATGAAAACCAAAAGTTGGAGATAGAAAAACTAAAAAATGAAAACAAAAAATTGGAGAACGGAAAATAAAAAAGAAAACTGAAAAATATCTATATTAGTAAATAGACCTTTACAGTTTTGAATACTACCATATTACACAGTTAGTGTTTAAGCTTACTCCCTCTGTATTTTTATGTTCACTACATTAGGTTGGACACCTTATTTAAGGAGTAGAGTAGTAGGAGTAGCGGATAATGTAAAAAAGTAAGAGAGAATGGCTAAAGGTATGAAATAGAAGATAAAAAGTAAATAAAGGAAGGGTAGTTGATTATTTTATAGAGGGTAAACTTACCAAAAATGGAAGTGTGGAGAACTTTTAAATACAGCCCGAAAATGAAAGTGTATGAAACTTTTAAGTACAGAGGGAGTATTATTGTTCATTTCCTTTATTATTTGAAAATGTGATTACCATTGAAATCCAATGTTTCAACTTTCAACATTCAACAACAGTTCATCTTCTTAAATTTTGGTTAGTTTCTTAAATTCTTTTCTTGCAGATTCCAGAATCTATATATATCTACAAATAAACAAAATAACACAATCACAGTTGAATGAATTGATCTAGATTATATATATGTATTGAAGAGGAGAAGTCAGTGGACAGCGATTCGTCTTCGTTTGAAGGATGCCATCTTGGGCCCAACAACAACAATGTCCTTTCTCTGAGAATGATGTCTTAACTTTTCCAATCTAAGAGGCCTATTCTTAACTTGAAGACCAGCTTCTCTTCTATACATACTATCCCGAGGATGGTGGCTCTTTCGGTGGTGGTGATGGTGGCGGTAGCGGGGACTGTGCTGGCCGTAAAACCTACCTTCCCCGGTCCCCTTGATCGTCATCTTTCTCTTTCTAGACACCCTTACATCGCCTCCATCAACAAACGAAGACTCACCGTAGAGACTGAAGGAATTATCACCAGATTCAACATCTACGAAGCGCCGCGGTCGGCGGAGGCGACGATCCACACGCTGAACATTGATAAGTTTATGCCAGAGGAAACACATTAGACACCCGATTGATGACCAGTAAGCCTTACACGCTGAGCAATACATTCCGCATATAGTTTTCCCTACGCACTGGCATATCCCCAGCTTGAAGAACATGTAGAGGAACAACAAAGCTGCCAACGGTGAAGTGAGAACTATTAGTTTCACTTAAATGGGAAATATCACCACCTCAAATCTGTATAAAATATACCAGTACTTACATCTAATGATTTGGATTTTACACTTTTCATTATAGACTTCAACTATTACTATAGTTAATTGAATATTCATAAAATTATTAAAAACTTATATGACTAATTGGTGAATGCTGCGGTACTCCACAAAATTATAAAAGTATGACTAATGTATTCATAATGCATTTGATTAATCTGAGTCATTATTCATTTATTCGATCATTTGTTGATGTTTGAACTACTCAATTGTAATATTCTAATTCCTATACTATTGAATTAAAACTATGTACAAGTGAAAACATACTTATAAAGAAAAGTGATGCAACATTAAAAAAGTGAGGAAGCTTTCGAGCCCAGTTGCTCGCGTACTCACTCTCCGAGGTTCCGGATTCAATTTTTATCAGAGTGAGATTGATCCCAGTTTACGCTAGGCTCTCCCAAACCCCTCCCCAGACGCCCCTTGGGCAGGGGCGGACCGTAATACAGACCCAGGGGTTACCGCCCCCTAACAAGAATTTTTTTTAATGTATATATATATGAAAAATAATTTTCTCCTTCCGAAAAATTATTTTGAACCCCCAAATAATATTTTCGCCTCCAAGATGACTTTCCTGGGTCCGCTCCTGCCCTTGGGGTAAAAAAAATTAAAGAAAAGTGGAAGTGTATTTATATTTATACGTAGTAAAAAATAAGGCTAAAGTGAACCATACAAAACACAAAGCTGAGAGACTGGGAATTACTTATGTAGCAAAGCACCAGGATCATAAATAACTTGATCAAATCCGAGACACAAAGATGAGTGATGAAACACGATACATCCCAAACTCCGCTGCAAACCTCTCTGCAAAATCCGAAACAGGGGAAAACTAATTTAACTTAATATAATCAAAGCAAAACATATTCAAAGAGGAATTCATCGAATAAAAATAGACATTTAATTTCAGGAGGATGAAAAATGGCAGACTCGCAAGATCCTTCGAGCATAGCCTTGAAGGGAACGGCTAGGGCATTTCCGAAGCCATCGGCGGCCTTACTCAGAACACCGCCCATCTTCTCCGTAACGCCAAACCCGAAAGAAGAAGAAATTGCTAATTGAGATTGACCACAATTCCATTTCCACTGTGAACTGCCTGCATCTCCGATACACAATCCAGAAGCATTTCAGAAGAATCCGCAGAGAAGAAGATGTCGTTATTTTTAACCCTTCATTATTTACCGTCATTATAATTTATAATTCAGTTATCCTGTGATTCTAACTTAATGGGTCATGGGCTGCCCATGAAACCCATTACAATTGCGGTAATTGGACAAATCCGGAGCCCAGTTGGCCATGACTTTTTAGTTTTTATAATGGAAAAATAATTAAAGATACCCCACACTTAGAAGGTGTGAGATAAACACCTCAAATTTGCATATGTAATTTAAATACATTAAACTATATATAAAAACTTATTTTAGCATCATAATCAAGTATTCTTTCTTTAAAAAATGTAAATTTAGGGTGTTAATTACATAATCTAAAATATTTTAGAATTAATGAAAAAAAAAATTAACATTCTAAGCTTCCATTGCGAAATAAGTAATGTTACCCCCAATCTATATAGTTGTTACACTTTTAATTTGTTATTTTAAATTATACAATTAACCCCATAAATTTACATTTTTGATACAAATAATGAATGATAACGGTGCAAAAATAGCGTTGTATATAAAGTTTGAGGTATTTACATTATGAGTTAATTATCAAAATAGGACTAAAAGTCATTCAATTTTCACAAATAGGACAAAAAATGAACTATGTTTGCATAGGACTAATTATGTGTACCTTGGACAATTATACTCTTATAGCTATTAAAATGTTTTAATTCCTAATAAAATAATAAAAAATAAAAAAAAATCGTAAAAAATACTAAAAAATTAAGAAAAACATTTTGATATTAAAAATTTAATTATTTTTTTTTCAAAAAATAAAAAAAAATTAAAAAAAAAATAAAAAAAAATAAAAACTCCAAAAAAAAATCGCCGCCGCCTCTGCCGCCTCAACACCACCACCTCCAGTCACCAGGGGAAAAAAATGTCAAGTTCATTACGAATGCCATATTTATGGCAGAAAAAAATGAAAATGTTGGCATTCGAAAAGAGAAATATGCCACTTTTTTGGCATTTTCAGAAAAAATGGCATTTTTCTGGGAAAATGGCATTTTTTTCATCGGCCGGAGGTGGTGGTGCTGGGAGGTAGTACAGGCGGTGAGAAAAGCATCCATATTTTTTTAAATTTTTTATACGGAGTTTTACTATTTTTTATTAATTTTTTAAAAATAAAATTATTTTAAAAAAAAGTTTTTGAATTTTTTATTTTATAAAAATTTTATAAATTTTTTAATTATATTTCTACGAATTTTTGATTTTTTTTCAAATTTATTATGAATTAAACATTTAATTATGGCTTTTGATTATTTTTAATTCATATTTGATGGAAGGGTAAGAATGGAATTCAAAAAAAGGTATGTTTCCAATAGGACTCATATGGTCCTATTTTGGAATAAAAACATAGCAAGTCCTATTTTAGGTTTTTTGCCATAGTTTTAGTCCTATTTGAACTAATTTCTATTACTCCGTACATTATATATGCAGGTTTGGGGTGTTCAACTCACACCCTTTCAAAGTTTGAGATATTTTTATTATTTTTCTTTTCTGAGAATTGTTAACAACTACCTAGTTCCATGATAAAATTGCATGAATGGACGGCGGCGGCGGAGAATCAATATTTGATTTCAATATCTTTTCCCTATCTATAATGTACATAGATATCAAAATTATATTCAAAAGTTTTCCAATTTAAAGGTTAAAACTTCAACCTAATCTACCTATCCAAAACAGTATTTTTTGGAAGATACAAAAAAGTATTTAATACAATAGTCAATAATAATCCAATAAGGATATATCATATCACAAAACGTACATGTTTAGGTAAATATTTCACACAAACTAATTTTTAAAATTTCCCAAAGGTAATAATAATTCCATAGAAATCATGTTTTCTAGTAATAGTAAATTAAAATAATTTAATTTAACCAAAATCTTTGTTAATCACAAATTCTAAAATTTAATCCAACATCATATTTATTATATGGCCAAAGTATACATAATTTTCCTAATAAATTCCAAATAATTAAATTCATATTTTTGGCAAATCAATAATTCCATAGAAAATAATGACAATTATATGATCAAAATAAAGGTAGTGGACAAAAACATGACGTAGTAACTACCATAATAACTTTAATGACCACGGTAAACTTAAAAAAATGAATTTGAACCCCTCCATCCCGAAAAGATTCGTCATAATGACCTTTTTTAGTCAACGAAGTGAAACTTTGGACAATTATTTATATTGTTATATTTATATATAATTTATAAAAAATTTACTTTTGTGAAAAATTTTTGAATAAAGAACCTTTTATATAATTTTATATTCAAAATAATTTCGCATTAAAAAAATATCATTGATCAAAATTGATTGCTATTGACCAACAAAAGCTAATTTAGCGAACCTTTTCGCGACAGAGGGAGTATGAAATTTGGTTGATATTTCGGCCCTATAATAATAATAATGCATGATAAATTTATTTAATTTGAGAATGATATGAATATTGGATAAATTAATTGTTTTAAGTTCCTATGTCAATCAAAATGTAAATTTTGCCTCAAATATAAGTTATTTATGGTACAATTGTGATATTTATTATGAAATTTTATGCATATTTCGAATATAGGTGATGTGTGATATTGGATTATAGTTTCTTGAATTATTAGTTTATATGATTTTTTGGGTAATTTAATTATTTTAATTTACTATGGCAAAAAATAGGAAGATGATTTTCCTTAAATATTACTGAAGTAAAATCAATGTACAAAAATATTACTATAGTTACTATGCATAACCATTATAGTGGTAGAGCTGATTGTGACGTTACCGTGCGTAGTGGGAGATCACGAGTTCGAAACCTGCTAGGCACATAAGAGTTTGAAACTCAATGGGCTGAGTTTCAACCTTGATTACTCCACACCTCCCCAGACCCCCTGGAGTACAAAAAAAAGTCCAATGTGCACCTCTAAAGTATTAAAAAGTGTCAAAATTGCAATAAATTGAAAATAAAAAACAGAAACAATTAAAAATTTTAAAAAAATGACCGTTTTTTTACCCGTAAAAATTGAAATTTGAACCATTTTTTGTTAGTTCAGGGTGTGAATTGAACCTTTTTTTAATTCAGAGACTGAATTGAGCTTACACGACCGGTACAGGGGCCTATTTGACTCTTTAGTCTTTATTTTATTATAAATATAACAATATAAATCATTGTCCAAAGTTTGACATCATAGTACAAATCCTAAAAAAATCATATTAGAGCTAAAATATACGGAGTATATTTTAGTGGACATATGAACTAGGCTAGAAATGAATTTACAAGAAATTCCTAGCTTGAAAACTCACAAATTTGACCGTAGCTAGTATCAAATCATTGATCCTAGAATAAATATTTAACCGATTGAAACCGATTAAAGCACATTAAAATGATGATAGAAATGACCTTACCTGAAGATAACTATGTAGAGACAAATTCTTGGCATTAAAAATCACCTTTGATGGCTTGGAAATGTTTACAGTTATGGAAATAGTTTTAGGGAGTCGGCTCTAGGATTTCAAGAATGAAGAAATTCATAATTAGAATCTAGTTATACAAAAAATGCTGTTAGTACAGCTTCTATTACCCATTAGTACACCATATATAAGGCTCAAAGTTAAAACCAAATTACCCCCCTTTCCCACTCCAATCCCACGTGCGCCACTCTCCTTCTCATCTCCCTCCCAAAATCAAACTCTCGCACCAGTTTCTTCTCAGCAGGAGGTCTTCTCTGCCAAAAAAATCAACGCAACCACTGGCCGAGGACGACGGCGAATCTCCCTCCCAAATCGTCACTCGTTGGAAGACATCATGGGAGATGTTAACGATGACGATTTTTGGGCTTTCTGGGATGCAACTGCAGGAGGCGGAGATGACGTAGCTCACCAAACTGAAGGAATGCCGGTAGTAGTTGGAGAAGATGATGGACAGACCTCCGGAGCTGTAGAGGTTGGCAGACAGACCTCCGGAGCTCACCAAACTGAAGAAGATAACGGAAAGAAGGCCCAAACTGAAGAAGGTGATGGATCGACGTTGGAGGCTTCCATGGACGTCGTGTATGAACTGGGTAGGACTTCATCTTGTTTGTATTTCGTTTATGTAGTTCGTAATTACGTCAAAATATATTTATGCACACAGGTGAACATTTTTGTCTGTGAAATAGTCAAAGTTGTCTGTATTGTATGAAACTTTGTCTGTATATGTTGGAACAAGCGAACATGGTCCACAAATAGTTAAAGTTTATATTTTGTTTCTGTACCGTGTTATTTCATTTCTGGGTAGTTTGTTTGTGTAGTTGTTGGAAAAATGTGTTAAAAGTTGTATTAAATGGTCATTTTGGGGTAAATATTTGAGCGGGGTCCACTTCCGATTTAGATCGGGTCAAAGTGGTTTCAGATTGTCCTTGTTAAGGGCTACAATTTGATATTTGGTACACTCATAACAAATAACCGGTGAATGAGAAATTGATTTTTGAAGTTCACTCGTTGAAACGGAAAAAATGGGAAAAATGATGGGTTTCTAGTGTGTTTTATCCCACACTGGAAAACCTAAGGGATTTTCACCCCTTTATAAAGGGAACTCACCTAGAATGAGTTAAGATTCCGTAGGGGAAAGGCTCTATTCACGCGCAAAGGGGGAGGGTGCCGATCAAATCCCGAAAACAGACCAGAAGACCTCTTGCCGCACCATAACTGCTCTTCTTCTGTTGGGGGTATTCTGGTCACGCTCCAGAACTACCCCAAGCCGTTACAGCAATAAATGCCCAACGTTCTTTTCTTTTAATGCGGCGTTAAATGGATAGTTTATGGACAATTCAATGCCCAATGGACTGGTCATTGATGTCCAACGTTCAGGTCCAATAACACTCCATTTAACACGCAACAAATCCTCCTATAAATAGCTGACAGGCGGTTTGCAACAAAACACAACGCACAATACATTCCTCACGAATTTCTTAAGCTAAAAATACCTCCAGTTACTCCGAAAATTTCCTAAGTGTTCTAGCTTATTCCTGTTCGCCGAAGCTT